GGGTACGATTCGGATTGGGCGTCGTAGGGATGTTAGGAGTTGGGCCTAGAAACCTTTTTGGTAGAGTCCCTTTTTATGCAGTTAGTAGTCTACCCGGCCACCTGTTCATTTTTTATGACGAAGGTGGATTTGAACCTAGAGGCCTAATGTATGAATATTTAGAATTTCAAGCTAATGTTATGTGTTTATTGATTTGCGTTTGTTCTACCCCGTTGTCATTATTTATTGGCTAGGATATTTAAATTTCACTTCCGCCTGCGTACGATTTTGGGTGTTTCGTTTGGGGTCGGCGACGCATCCTGGGACGTCGCGATCAATACGACCCTCGTGGAAGGGGTGTCGCGAGCCCTGTTGGGGTTCGGGGCATGACATCTAAACTTTAACCCAATGTGTAATGTAGTCCCTGAACTTTTAATTTATTCATTATCATCCCTGAACTTTTGGTACATATTCAATTCAGTCCCTAAAATATAAGTAAATGTTCAATATAGTCATTTCATTAATTCTAGTTTACGAACTACATTGTACATTTTAATATAGTTCAGGGACTAAATTGAACATGTACCAAAAGTTTACGGACCAAATTGAACAAATTAAAAGTTCTAGAACTATATTTAATATTAGGCTAAAGTTTAGAGACTACATTGAACAAATTAAAAGTTCAAGGATCAAATTTCATATTAGACTAAAGTTCAGGGACTGTTTGTGTCATTATCCTAAAAATTCTTTTACATCAACCATGGCCTACCCTCGTCAAGCAAACTTCAGCACAAAAAGGAAACTGTCAACAAAAAAACACACGTAAAGGAAAGTCTGTGGTCCACTTTCCCCTTTTATTTTCTTTCGCTGACTATGTCGAAGCTAATTTGTGTGCCCTTGTTTTTTTTTTCTTTCCGATTTTCATGATCTTTTTTTTTTGGTTAGATAATTTTCATGATCAAGAGCCCATGAACTTCACTTTCACATGCCCCGGTAAATTTAACCACTTCACTTTATGTAACGTCCTAAATTCAACCCACTTCCGGGATTAATAAAATAGATGGTTATTCCTCATTTTATTTTAGTAAGTCTCGCCCGGAACTGATCATTCACGGGATACTGACCAATAGGGAATGTCGAACTAGGAAAACGGTACGTGGACCCAAGAACTCGACCGTGAATTGAGTCCAATTCTGAGGATCGACGAGGGAATATTTTGTGCCAATGTGGGCCGATCCAAGGAGAGTGACGGATTTGGTTTGGCCAACAACGTGCGATCGGATCGCGAGTGATTCCGCGTAATCGAAAGTACGCATGGCGAACGATCTCGAACTTATTCCGAACGATCGCGACCCCCGGGGCTAGCGATAAATCCTCGTGTTCTCTGGAAAATCGAGACCGCCACGACTCGAGTAACCCTAGGTCGATACGCGTAACCCCTAAACAGCCGCCCGTTAGTGAGAGACGCTAAAACTGCAAATTGAGCTAAATCGATCGTGGAATTGAGTCCGGACTTCGGTGTCGAATTTCATGGGCGTACACGACTATTTTGCAAGGACAACATCGCATAAGTGTGGCCACTTATATTTGGGATCAATAGAGTCGAAAATTGGAAATTTGACCCGGGACCGGAAAATTACCGTTTTGCCCTTAGGCCTAATTATGGTGTTCCGAATTTTGGGATTAATTGAGGAATATTTTGGAGTTTTATAATAGCTTGTTTCAGTCCAATAATGCTGGAAATGTTGGTCCATAAGGCCCGCAAGATATATTAGCAAGACTTAATCATGGCCATTGAAATAAGGACTTGATAGTCATTTGTTGGATAGTTTGGTCCCCAACCCCACTCACCAATTTGGTTAAGCTCTCCACTCACTCTCTCTCCTCTGATTTTTCTCACCATTTCATCCGGCCATTTCCTCTCCCGCACGACAACTCCCTCCTCTTCATCTTCCTTCTTGTTTGGCCATGAAAGGCCAAGCTCGCCGGACCGCCGCCGCACGCTGGCGCCGCCACCATCCATTCTCGCCTAGCACCACCACCATCCAGTCGTTCCATCCTCTCTCTCTCTCACTTCCCCAGCCGCGTGAGGATCAGCCCACGCCTAGGACCGCCGCCGTCCGCAAGCCGCCGCCGCTCACGCCGCCGTGAAGGCCGCCCGTTGCCGCCGCTTGCCCCGCTGCTGTCCAGCCGCCCTTGCCACTTGTCCAGCCTTGTTAGGAGCTTAAGAATTCAAGTGAGTTCAACCCTAAACCCTAGTTAGGCTAATTTACATTTCTAGATGGGTTTTAGGGGTTAATTAGGGTAATTTAGGGGTTAACGTGCGAAGGATGTTAGGGGCTGTTATTGTGGCTGATTTGGTGGTTTAGCTTGATGATTTTAATTGAGGTTTAGTGGGCCATAATGTGCTGTGCGATGGCTGGAAGTATTGGATTGAATCGGCCGGAGTTCGGTTAAGTTTGGGTTCAATTGTGGAATATTGAGTGTGCCTCGCATTGTCCTCATGGTGGCTGATTTGGGTGATGTCTTGGGGAGCCTAATGGAGTATTTGAGGATATTTATTAGCCTAGAATGATCTGTTTGGTGGCTGTCCATACCGGGACTGATTTGGGCTAAGAGCGATCAATTCGGGGTTTAATTGTGTAATTACCGGGAATGTTTGGATTAACTATTTGGGTGGCTGAATTGTCATTGGTTGTGATCAATTTTTGTGTTGCCATGTCATATGCTTAGTGTGACCAAGAGTGGAGTAGCATGTCGGGCCTCGAGTGCGTGAATTCATGTTGATCTAATTGTGCGATTTATATGTGTGGATTATGTACCGCGCAAGAGTGCTTTGAATTGCTTTCATGATCATGCTAATATGTTGGTTGGGCACATTGAAATGCGGATTGAGCATGTTGTGGCGTTGTTTTGAATAAATAGCCAAATCATATTGAGTGCCAAGTGGGAACGTTATGGCCATGAGTGTGCATCTCGAGCATTGACATAGCATGTGCATATGCGAGTGTGCACGAATGTCATGAGCGTGTGATCACCTAAAATACCCTGATGCGTTTTACGCGGGGTTCAGATAATAATTGGTGATTGTGAATGTGTGATCACATAAAGCTCTGAGGCGTGTTACGCGAGGTATTGAACTCGTCCTGAGGCGTGTTACGCGGGACGATGCCCGGACTACTGAAAGATGACCAACCTGAAGCGTTTTACGCGGATTTTGTGTCATGAGCCTGATGCGTTTTACGCGGGCCAGAGATCGATCTCGAAATGATAGACCTGATGCGCTTTACGCGGGTCGGACCTGATGCGTTTTACGCGGGTCGGAGGAGAATTTGTAAATCTCAAGTATGCTAGAGTGCAAGTGTGTGATCATGTGTTGATGAGGCACGAGCATGAGCATGAGCATAAGCATTTGCATGACACGCGTTATGGCCTAGTGATCTGTGTACATGTACCGTGATTGAGTCCTGTGCTATCATTGCAATTATATATATAGTGCCTAACTTGCAGGGTCAGTTAAGTATTAGATTTAGGCCCGAAGGCCTAAGTCATTTATAGTTTGGACTGTGTGTTGTTTGTTGCTCGTCAGGAGGTACATGCTAGTCTAGTTTAGGTTTAGGGGGCCTACTCACTGAGATTATTCTCACTGTTGTATAAATCCAATTTTTCAGACCCCCGGCCTTGAGATGTCCGCAGTACCTGTTCGTTTTGGGATTCCTTACCGGATAGACTGGGAGGAGACGGTGTACCCCGCTGGGAACGGGGATTTCTTTGTTAGATATCTTTCTACAGTTTGGGTTGATTCGGGCGAGGAGCTTGACCAGGCCCACAGGTACATAGGGTGGTGTATTAGGGACCATACAGGGACCTACAGGCCTCTTTGATCTTTTGAGGTCTCGTTTACCGAGGCCGGGGAGGTTGACTCTCAGTGTCCCGATGGGGACTTGGCGAGCCCTGACCATGCGCTGGAGGATGGGGAACCAGAGCCCATGGAGCAGGACATGGAGTAGGAGGACGAGGCCGAGCCGATGGATTCCGAGGAGGAGTCAGCTGGGCCCGAGTCCGAGCAGGATTCCCTAGACTCTGAGGTCGAGCTGTCTGATAGCTCTTCCAAGTCATCGGGATCCGACTCGGACTGGGTTCCGTAGATCTAGCCATAGTTTTAGATAGATCGGGCCAATACCTTTTTGACCAGAGCCCCTTCTAGTTTTTAGTAACCCTGACCGCCCAGGCCACTTACCCCTTTTTGTTAGTAGTGGCCATTGACCCGCTTTTGATTTTTGATGCTCAGGCTGTATATGAATATTGTATATGTTCCCCGTCGCTAATGCAAGTGTATATTTGTTCATGCTGTTGGTTGTTGTATGGCTATCCTTGGTTATGTGATTTTAGATTGTTCGGGTGTCGTATTGCTTCCGCATGTGCCTTGCACTCTGTTTGGGCGTTGGGTCGACGACGCGTCCTGGGACGTCGCACTCGAATCGACCTTGGTTGGGTTGTTGTGCACCGTGGGGTTCGGGGCGTGACACTTCAGGCTAGGTTTTATTCGATGAGCTTGAACTCGAGACATATTTTAACAAGATGAAAGAGTACGGGTATGTACTGTTGAGTAGATGTTGGACGAGATTCTCCAATCACTAGCTGATTGGTTTCTTTATTAATTTTAGTTGTTTGATATTATAAAAAAATTTAGGCCAAGAAAATAATATTCTTTAGTTCTAATGATGAATTGATTTGATCACTAAGTTTGCCAAATTGATGTATTTGTTTCCCAACCTGAATTGGCATTTCTATCTCTCTTGTTTCTCCTTCTTTGCTTATTATCTGATTTTCCTCCACTTTCTACTAATTTAAACGTAACTTTTAACATGCTTTTGTTCGACATTAGTTGGTATCGGATCTAGATCTATTCTCCATCAATTGGTATATGAGCTAGAACTCTTCAATGTTAATTGGTATCGGGAATTTGCTTCGATTACGTCCTATCATTGTGCAACGATTCTCCACCAAAGGCCAATGCTATGGTATTTATTTTAGTTGCTACAGTTGCATTTCTGATCTGATATGATCATGAATATAGATGGCCTTCATGCCCATTGAAACTTCAGCCAACATGCTTGCTGATTTGGAGCCATTCTATGTTCGGTATGATTTTCTCTTTGAATATTGTTTCAATATTTATTAAATCTAAAATATAGAAAATTTAAAAAGAGTAGGGGTTATCAAGATTATTAGGTTGATTGGTACGAAGACTACAATTATTATGATTAAAATGTAACTAAAATAATTTTGAATGTCAAGATTATTACAAATATGGCCTTAATTATAACTATCACAAGTCCTTCATAATCTTGAAGAGATTATAACTAATTTTTAAAGACCACAGAGAAGATTTCAACAATTTTGGTCACAACTAATAGATCCAATAAGAAAAACTGTAAGGAAGACATGGAAACAGTCCAAAATCAATTCTCTAATGTGCAAAAGGGCAAGGATAGGTACTCTTAATATCTTGAAGAGCTAAATAAGGACTCTGCTGATGAGAATAGTGAAGTAAGTGGGGGTAAAGTTCAATTAACAAATTTGCATGAATTTATCAAACATCTTCTGAAATTTAAAATTTAACATATTCAGAAATGTAATCTGTCCGATTGATCATTCACAGAAGTGAAAAAATCGAGATACTAAAATCTATACTAAAATAGTTAGTACAGCCTTATACTTCCTAGGTGCATATCCAAAATTTATCGATTCTGAATTTTCAAATGGGTCTAGTGCGTTTACGTTCAACAAAACAAAATTTAATATAAGGATAAGGAGAAATCATCCGACCCACAGAATTTGGTAAGTGTTGATTCGATAGTTTTTGTGGATTGTAAGATTATTTTGTGTGGAGACTTCTCATGGTTGTGGAATCAGACGAACTTGATCGAAACAGGTCGAGTTTCCTTAATGATTGGGAAGAACCGAGCACCACGCAAGGTTTACATGGACACCTCAAATTGCATTTCATCTTTGGGAAAAGCTAGAAGCACGAGGACATGTCCCTCCGTTGGACCGTAATGTGTATTTTTTTTTCTTTTTTTGTGGGGTCTGTATGCAAATATAATATTTCTATTAGAAAAGGGGGAAAATAAGATAAAAAGATAAGAAAAGATAAATCATAATTTTTTTTAAAAATTTACAAATACCATCCACATCGGTGCTGCCCATGTCATGTAAACTGACTGGCGTTTACATTAGCAATTTCTGGTTAAATTGGCCGAAAGGACTAAATGGATGAATCATCAAAAAGTTTAAAATTAAATGGGCATAATTGAAATATTTATTACTGAATTAGCCGCTGTACAAGACGCTTTGAACTTTTTGGATAATTTTCTTGGAAATTTTCTTGGAGCTCAAGTTCTTCGCACCCGGCGACAAATGGCCATTGTGCACATTTAATGATAACAACTAGCAAAATGCAATTTATTACAATATCCATGTCATGCACTACTCAACTTAATCTACTTCTCCCATTCAAATTCTATATTAATGCATTCAAAATCCTAAAAATTATTATGAAATTTATCAATTAATTCTTAAAATTTTTCAAATTGATGCAATCGGTCCTCTCGATAGCACTGTCTTATTTGGCTAGCAACATATTTTAATGTTTTGGGATTACATGTGGCACCCATCACTTGCCGTATAAGGAAATATGAACGTGAATAAATTCAATAGACAAATGGCAAACATGCATTTTCTTCAGAAGACGATAGCAAGCATGCATTATTTTAAGGACAATTATTAATCTCCCAATTAATGCTCTCCTAATTTTCCCATGTCTGACCATAGCTACAAATCTGTTTCCTTAAATTGATTACGTTATCAGTTAATGCGATTCATGTGTCTCACTTGACCTGTTATGACCTTGTCGAATGATAAGTCTATTCTTTCGTTCAATTCAACCATTTATATGTAACCGCTAAAATTGTTCAAAGGACAAAGGGTGTCTTTGGTAGTTTTGAATTTGTAAGGAGAATTAGCCAATAGAGCATAAAGCACTATCTTGAGTTCCTTCATCAGTTTGCAACCGAAAATGAAACTTTTGCTATTGCTACTCATAATTTGCAGAGTTTCTGTGCCTGAGGCGGCGAATGACGATGATTTGGAGCTGGAAAGGCAGTTGAAGATTATGAACAAACCACCTATTAAGACATTTGTGGTAATATCTCTTTCCAAACAATTTGATGATTTTCTAATTTCCAACTATTGGAATCATGTCTTGCAACAATTTATCTTGCTGAGTTTCAAGGAGAGATTTCTTTTGGCAAATCTGATTTGTGTTTGATGATTTCGCTAAGACAAAGGAAGGAGATATCATCGATTGCATTGATATTAATAAACAACCAGCACTCGATCATCCTCTACTGAAGAATCACAGAGTTCAGGTTAGAATTTGCCAAATTTTACCCACTCATGAGAAGAGTTAATTTTGATTCTTACTTATCTTGATTCTTGTTTAATTAATTCTTTCTTTTTTAGGTAGAACCAAAGTTAAATTTCAATGGCTTTGGTAAGTCTTCTCCAAACACAAAATCTGTGCAATTTGGATCAAGAGAACCTTGTCCTGTTGGAACAGTGCCCATCCCTCGGGTAACTACAGAAGATTTGATAAGGGCAAAATCTCTACCGCAGATGCCATCCGTAACATCTATGGAGCATGATGCCATTTCTTCTAATCAACATGTTCGCTCTCTCTTTCTCTCTCCTTCCATAAACGTCATTAGAAAACTCTTTTTAAGATTTTCAATTAGGTATAGCATTGAACAGTTTATCCAAGTGAATTACTCCCTCTCCCTACCTGTAATCCTTTCTTTATAGATTCTTCTCATAATTTATATTCCCTTTAACAAAAACCTTCCTTTTCTTCTTCCTTTAACTCCTATATAAATTCTCTGCAAAAAATTCTGGCGAATTCTTTTATTTCTTTTCCAAAAGACAACGTGGGACGAGACAAATGAGAGAAACTCGTTTTGCATAGGGCAAGGGTTAGGGATTGTTGCCTCTAGTGATTGCGGGGTGAAGATGAGGGATACACCTCCGCTCCCCCCTTGGCCCATTGCCATCTTTCTACAAAATAAGTATTTCTCAATGGAAAACAGCATATGATTTGTAGAACGGCTATTAGCTTTTCTCTCGCCACTGTAATGCAAAGTATATTTAACATTTTGCAGGTGGTTTCTTTGAAAGACAACTTGAATTTTGTCATTAAATTTGGATGTCATGGGACGACATCAGTCTACAAGCTAACCGTTGCTCAAGGCCAATCAAGCTCGCATAATATGTGGATTCAAGCTGGTCCTACGGATCATATCAGTATGATTATAGCCGGTTGGATGGTATGCAAATTTCTATAGATATGGTAAACATTTTTTTAAAAATAGTTATTTAAAGCAATATAACAAAATTGTTATTCTTTTAGGTTTCCCCACGACTATATGGTGATGCCGTATCTCGATTGTTCACTTATTGGACGGTATGTTCAATGATAAGTAATTCTCGCCAGACATCCCTTCCTTTGATTATCAAAATTATCACGAATGTAATGAATTTTGGATCATTTTTACCCTACTAGGGCAATGGCTTTCGAGATGGGTGCTTCAACATATTGTGCCCCGGCTTTGTTCAGGTGGATAGGGAAGTGACCACCAATTATCCTTTGCATCCTACTTCTACTTATGGTGGTCCACAATATGTGCTTGGAATACGAGTCGATCAAGTAAGCTTAATCTCGTCATCAGTAAGATAATGGTCCTTATTTCATAATCACTTTGTGAAAAATACAATCTTTCTTCTCATTGCATGCCATTCGTGGATACATGCAATACTATGATCAAATCACACCGTCTAATTAACCACATCAGCTGTTATTGATGATCAGCACATTTCTGCAACTGAAAACTGAAAACCAACATTTTCACCCTGAAGGCTTCATGAACACTGAACAGTAGCTCCTTGTAACCAGGACAACACTACTGGGAATTGGTGGCTGCTTTGTGATGGAGACCAACCGGTCAAGGTGGGTTATTGGCCCAAAGAGTTGTTCTTAAATTTACGAAACGGCGCAGAATACACAGCTTGGGGAGGAATCGGACTTGCAGACAGCAATGGAGTTTGTCCTCCTATGGGAAGTGGACACAAGCCCGATGGTAATTACAGGCACGCCGCATTCTTTGAGAAGCTCCAATCTGTATGCGGCACACCCGGTGGCAACGCCTCACCTCCTTCGGTGGTTACTTCTGAGTGGGTTGATAAATCCAACGTCTATGGTTTCAAGAACGACCACTTTGTTGAAGGAATGGGCTACACGATCAACTATGGAGGTCCCGGAGGTTCTTGCAGAGGATAACAACGTTGTGCTCACTCCTCACCAATTCAGTGGGCAAAGCTATCTACTCATAGTTTTATAAACCCTTTTAACATAATAATAAAGTTTTGTTTCTTTTTTTTAGGTTAAGGTTAAGATTATTATGGTCGTTGCTTGGATTATGGTTCGGAGATTTTTTTTTTATTTTTTAATTAGTCCACTTAAGGCAAATTTAACAAAAGAATGTCACCCGGAGACAAATTTAACGCCTAAATACTGACAACCAGGGTTTGTCAGAGAGTCAAAATGTCTGGAAATCTTTGATTGGGTAATATTTAAAAGTTTTTAGTACATCGCTAATCAAATGAAGGCCGTAGGTTTTGAAGTGAAATTTGTAAACGATGCATTTTACATTACTTAGCCATTTAGTAGAGGAAATTACCAATTCAATCCTAAACCTAGTGTTTTGATACAAATTCAATTCTAAACTTTTCAATTCTACCAATGTAATCTCATATCTTTGCACAAAATTTCAATTTAATCATTTTTGCCAAATGAGGTTGAAAAACGCTAATGTGGCAGTCCAAGTAGTATGTTGGTTCAAGTAAAGTTGTCCATGTCGGTGTGCCACGTAAGACCACTTGTGATGACAAGAAGCCAAGTCAACAATTTTTTGGTAGTAACCGGCTGAAATAACTACATTTGAATTTCGAGTAAAATTCTAGGACTATATTGACAGAAAGTTTAGAAGTGAACTAACGTAGGTATAATAGATTTAGAATTGATTTGGTAATTCCCCATTTAGTAGAGTTTCTAAAGATTAAGATTAGATTTCTTGAAAGTTATTATCCACTAAAATAGAAAAAAAGAAAGAAAAAAAAGTACATGTATGATTCATCTTGCATGTGTTGGGCTGGGTCCACGTATTGTGAGGCCCAGCTCATCATCTTAATTAAATTAAAAAAAAAAAAAGAAGAAGGATAGGCAGAATGTTCTCAATTGAGCAGAGAGAGAGAAAGAGAAAAGCCTTCACTCTGGCAGAGAAAAAGAGGCTGAAAGTGTTGCTTCAAAGAGGGGAAGTGGTAGTCTAGTTTCGATGGTAAAACTTTGTCGGAATTGGCTAAAATGTTAGTATGTTGTTCGTGAGATCAATGTCTACAAATTGATTGGTTTTGTTCATTGAAATTATTCTTTAGATTCTCTCTCGATTTCTTTAGCAACGGTTGTTGACATCTAAATTTTGACTAATCATTTAGGGTTTAATTGCAGAGAAAATTAAGAACTAATTTTTAGCCCCTAAAAAAATAATAAAATTGAATTACATAGCATATAATTTTTAGGAGCATTTGTCATATAGTTAGTTGCATTTGTGTTTTAATCGGACCGGCAGTGGTGAATGAACCTAAATCTATCACGTGGACTAGGCTAACACTTACCAAAATTCAGCCAGCACAAGGAAGAACAGTGGCCAAAATTTTAAGCCTAAATGGACCAAGGTATGAGCTTTAATTGAGTTGGGTTTAACTCATTAAAGTTAAAGGCTTTGTGTTTACTTAGAACAGGCCCTAAAGGGATCAAGCCTGTCACTAATTAAGCCCACAAGAGGTAAATTTCAGCTAGCCTACAAAGTGCAATGGCTTGGCCGAAAATCAGATTGAACCTAAATCAATCAAATTTCAGCCCATGAGAGTTAATTAATGAAAAGCCTTAAGTTAATTCAGCCCATTAGAGTTTAATCATTCAAAGGTCTTAGGTTATTAGTCCATCGTCCAATAAGGCTGAAATTAAAAAGCCTGTGAAAGATCATAACTTTTTTTCAACCTCTTGAGTGCCATAATTTCTATAAAAAAGACATTAAGTTGACTGCAATAGTTTTCAATTGATCACTTGAGTTCCATAAGTCTTTAAAAAATTTTACCCAAGTGCCGGAAATCCAACATGATACTTGTGGTAAATGTTTTAAAAAGTTATAACACTCAAATGATCAATCGAACCGTTACATGGCACTCAATTGATTAGAAAACAATTATGCACTCAAATGAACTCTATATGAAAGTTATAATATTCATGATGTCCTTTTTCCCAAATAACTAGCATGACCAATTAAATTATCATTGTAGGATCTTTGGCATATCAAAGAATTATTATTTTCTGTTCAATGTATATCAAAATTGGTTTTATTGTTACTATCAAGAACTTCTATGAAATATGTTGCCCTTATTTGGTATTTTTATTACCGAGTTGAGGCCATAGGTTACATTTATATATTTATATGACAAAGGTCTTGGAAGAGGTAGAAAACGTTTTACATGCAATTACAAATAAACTCGGTATGAACGTGTAGCAAACTCAACGGGTAAGTTGCAAAGAAAAAATTATCCAATTGATGCTTTTAATCGGCGTTGAAGCGTTGTGTTCACCATTGTACTTTGGAAAAATACCAATTTCTGATATATTTTTAAACCGTCGATGCTAATTTGACCTAAGGCTACAAGTGTTGACGTCTAAGTTTTTGCCCAAAGGTTATTCTCGTGTATTTTCAACATCTTTTTGTGGGATAGCATGTAGCCATATTGCTTAATAGATCAGCAAGTTGCCTAGGCAGCTTATTTTATCATCAGGACTGAAGAAGATAATGTTATCAATGAATATTGGGCATTAACAATAATGGGCTCGAATATCTTGTGCTTAGCCTTATGGAACAATGATAATGCAGTCTTTAGATCAAATGGAAGGACTAACTATGCTTTGTGATTGTGATGGCTTACCTACTAGTCGAGTTTTAATAACCATGGAAATTTAGTAATGAAGTTGCTCTTACAGCATCATATTAGTTTTAAAAGAAGGGAAATGCTTTCAATCTTCGATTTTCTGAGGATTCCATATTATGGAGTAAGAATAATATCAGTGGACCCCTTGCGTGGCATGCGAAAAGAAATTTCCATTACCTTAAGAATGTTAGAAAATATAAAGAGAAAGATGTCTCGTTAGGCCTTCCAATTCTTTTGCGCAATAGACAAGATTTTAAATAATTAGCAATTTAGGTGGCATGGTCGGTCGCCCGTGGATGGCTTATATATTGCTTGATTGGCATTAACTTTGACAAGTTGCTGGTTAATGCTAATAAAGTTGGGTATGTTTAAAATGTAAAGTCAATATTTTCTAGGTAATAAAGAAACATATAGGGCGATCGCAGATTTGTTAGCCAGATGAGAAATATTAACATCTTTGATTCCATCACGGGTGGCTTGACTAATATATAAACTGATATAACGTGCATAGTGGAATAAACAGATCACAAAAGCATATCTCCAAAGCAAACCATTAGCCTATTATCCCTGCAAAAACCTTTTTTACTTAAGGAGCAATGGTGAGACCATCATTCACATCCATTATGCTGCTCAAGTTTTTGCTAATTCCCTTCGGTAATCTCTCTCTCTCTCTCTCTCTCTTCTCTCTCTCTGCGCGCATGAGATAAGGAAGATGTTGACAATGGATTGATGTGATCTGTCAGGGTAGCAAGTAAGCGTGGAAGCAAGAATTTTTGAATGCCTTTTAAACAGTGATTGCGGGCCACCAGGTTGTTGCCATTGTTTCCTCTTATATTTTGCGTGCAAATGCACACAAGGAGAGAGTTTCGTAGGAGACCTCGAGGGAAAAGGAGATGGCGCAGGAAGTTCCTTGAAAAGAAATGGAAATCCATAAGTCTCTTATGATATCTAAATAAACAATTATTTACCAGTTGTTGCATTTGAAGAATAAAAAATCTGCTAAAAGATATCTCTCTCGGTGTGTGTGCATGCGAAAGAGAGAATTAAAACATGGCGTGTATTGATCGAAAAAGAATCGAGTCGGGACCTATGGCCAAACACGGATATATAAATCATTTTCACAAATACTCTCTCTCTCTCTCTCTCCCAGAGTGCGTGTGTGTGAAAGAGAGAGTTAAAACATGACGCGTATTGATAAAAAAAGATTGACTCGGCACTGATGGCCAAACACGACTATATAAATCATTTTCGCAAATCAAGAGAGGCCCTCAAATGATTCTTTTCTCTTCCAAAAATATGTAGGAAACTAGGCTTATTGTAATTGTTTTTCCTCTAGCAAAGAACTATACAAATTGTCACGCCCCGAACCTCAACGGGCTCGCAACACCCCTACGACGGTTGTATCAAACGCGACATCTCAGGACGCGTCGTCGACCCAAACGAGACACTCACATGTATACGCAAGCGGAAGCGAAAATAACAACCTAGACAATAGACAATGACGAAGGGATAGCAATAGTACAAAACAAAAATTTCATAACAATGGAAAACAGTCACTTACAACATTCGGCCAGAAAATCAGACAATAGGCTCCTAGGGTTAACATCCACCATTATCATCAAAAAGGGACAGGTGGTATGGTAAGGTAGCTAGCTGCACAAAAAGGGCTCTATCAAAAAGCTTCTAAGTCCAGCACCCAAACGCTCCTACGGTGCCCAATCTAAATCAGACCCTGAAAACTCTGACTCCGTGTCAGAGTTTATCTCGATCGGCTCTTCCTCGTTATCCGGCTCCTCCTCGGGCTTGGACTCCATGGGCTCTGGCACAGGCTCGGGTTCTTCTTCAGGTTCGGACTCCTCAAATTCCTCTTCGAGCTTGAGATCCGCAGGTTCTACAAGTTCTGGTACGGGCTCGGGTTCGGGACCAGGGTTCTTCGGGGGATCTTCGGAGTCCAGAATCTCACCATCAGGAGCATACACGTCCCCGGGCTCCCAATCCACGACATCCTCGTTGCCGTGCTGCTGTCCCTCAAAACCCCGGATTGGGCTAACTAACTCCAACCCGTCACGATAAAACCAGGCCAAGTAAGTGTGACACTGCAAGTCCTCTAAGCCCACATCTACCCGGACTGTAGTGAGGTGTCTAATGTAAGTCTGATGTGGACCTACTGGATACTCGATCTCTTCATGCACCGTATGCATAGGGACCCCAAAACGCCGAGGTGGCAACATGATCAAGGTCGGGGTCGGGGATCTGAAATGGTTTGCACTA